GGAATCCCCAGCTGGGACTTGAATCAATTCGAATTGCCGGTGCTCCGCGGATATAGAGACTCGATTCATTACAGAAGCAATGCAGGACTGGTGAATTACTAAAACATGAGAAAAAGAATGGAAAGAGAATGATTGGAACATGGGATATGAATACTTAGTTTGAGATATTGAACTAAAGTACTTAGGGGTAAAACTTGAAACTAGGATCAAGAATAGTAAGCTTTTGGCAAAGAACTTTTGAATCTTTCTACATCCTTACATTGGCCCAACACCTGCATCCCTAAGACCTTCGCCCTTTTTCGTCGGGTCAGTCTTGTTGAGTACTTTTGTACTCAGGGTTTGTTAACCCTTGTTGCAGGTGAGTCGCATGCGCAGGCTTGTTTTGGTCCCTGCTGAATTTCAGTGTTTGAAGTCGATGACGATGAGGAATGATGAATGACCTTTGGATAAGGCACTAGTTTGTGTGAAATAAATAATGTTAATGTAATATTATCCCGCTACTATGGTTGTATGACACTTATTGTTATGTAAGTTTGAAACAACTGGTTTGTAATATTAAAACTTAAGTCTTCCGCTTTATAATCTCTGGTATGTATATTGAAAACTGTTGTAATCTGCAATGACTATGATTGGGATCCTGTTTGGAAAAGATTCGTGGATGATTCGGGTTTCCCAAGGACACCTGACAGACCTGTTAAGTTGTTGGGAACTTGTGTACGCTATCTGAGGTCTGTTGAGACATCAATAGGTGTACGTGGGCCCGATTTCTTAGGAGGTTCTGCCACAGTACGGCGCCATCGCCAAGCCGTGAGCGTGACGGGCTCGGTCTTGGGCCGCTTTGCTCCACGACATGATGTGGTGCGGCTAGGCTTGGTTTTGCTGCTCATGGTGATTGATGACTGCTTGATGGAGGTATTAACGAGATTGAGAGCGTTGTTGGTTTCAGGGAGTAATCACGGGAGTTTATGTTTCTGTCGTAACTCTCCGCGTCTTCAGGTGATTCCCAGACGACTTCTCCCCGCTCGCGCGAACAAGACAACAACACACCGCACCCTATCTACTAAGTTGCTTCCGAGTTTCCCCAATCCAGTCTTCTGCTCGAACAGAAAGTAGGACATCGGGCCTCCAGAACACCATCCGTGTTCGCGATACCTGCTCGGGTGTGCCGAAAGATATGGTTATTGGGCTACGTCGTCAAAATGTTTTACACCATTGGATGTAAGATCTACTGTTTCTATTCGTCCCGTTGCGTCCCCATCCTGTTCATGGCTACGTGGGAAAAAAATTGAACGGAAGACCAGCAAGTGTCCTCAACCTGGCCGCTGCTCCCCTGCACTCTTCGGTTCGTCCTAATTTTTTTACAATTTGACTCTTTTTTGAATAAAATTTACATTTGGTTCTGGGAGACTTAAACTCGTCTTTGGACCCTGGAGTTCGGCGCCAGGACTTATGGCACCGAGGTTACATGTCTCGGCGCCACAGATCTTGACGCCGAGATGTCTGACCGTGCACAGCAGGACATTCTAGATGGCGTTCACGTGGTCAATATCTCGACGCCAGAATACATTTCGCTCGCTGAGCTCAGCGTCACAGATCTTACGCCGACGTAGGAGCCGTGTATCCTGGCGCGTCGACGGCGCGCGACGAGGCGAACAAGGCTGGCGAGGACGGCCGCAGCGAAGCGGGTGGAGCAGGCGACGTGCGTGAGCTTGCTCTGCTGTGGGCTGCGTGTGTGTTTGTTGTGTGCCGTGCTTGCTGCTGCTAGTGGAGGAGAAAGGACAGAAAGGTGGGGCCCACGACGTGCAAGACACGACAGAAAACCACTCGACTCCCTGTATAGGTGCCATGCCCTTGTCTGCATAGGCTGCCCCCCCAACAAAGGGCCCAGGAAGGATCGGCAGTAATTGATGGCCCTATTCAACCTTGTCCGCAGACAGAAACCACTCGACTCCCTGCTTTAAGCCAACAGATAGAAGGTTGCATTGTATTGTTGTATATAGACGACAATGTGTTGGTTATCCTTGTGAGTTGTGAGCGGATAGATTTGGATTATAACAGAGAGTTATATTGAAAGAAAAAAAAGTACTCCCTTTGATCATTAATATATGACATTTTGATTAAGATATGGTCAAACTTATGAAAATTTGACTATTATAGCTTATTTAATTTGGAAATATAAAAATTGCAGGTGTAGATTTGTCTCAAAAATAACGTTTCTATAATCCCATACATTCATTACACACTATAGCTATATTTAAAATTCAATATAAATTTTGCACTTTGAAGACCACAAAATGACCAAAAAAGACATATTTTATTGGAGGAAGTAACTGTCACCTTGATCATAGTTCTACATTATGTTAAGACATTGGTCATTTACCTATTGCCTCTAGATATATTAAGCTTGAAAGGAACTGTTCAAATGTGGTTTTGCATAGCGTTAAGTTAGGTAACTTTGCGTCCCAAAGAAAATCTTAGTCCAATTAACTAGGCGATCTTACCAAATATCTGTTTCTAAAGAAACCGTTCCTCACAGTTGTGCATTGCACTAAGTTAAGGCTCGACTCCGTACATGACAGTAGGTTGGCAAAGGATAGGATCATACCTATTTTGAGCATGGTTTTGGAACCTGTTTCTAGTTTTAAGGAAAATAAAGCAATAGGTGTACCTTGCAATGGTATACGTGGTACAATTTATAAGTTGCTTACTTATGGGTAAAATTAGTTGAAATGAACAGCTAAAACGGTGTTATTTCTTTGCAGCTTTTCCTGGTTGGGGGTGACCTAAGTACTAACGGGTGATTTTCCTCTGTCTACGTAGGTTGAATAGGGCCATCAATTACTGCCGATCCTTCCTGGGCCCTTTGTTGGGGGGCAGCCTATGCAGACAAGGGCATGGCACCTATGCAGGGAGTCGAGTTGTTTCTGTCGTGTCGTGCACGTCGTGGGCCCCACCTTTCTGTCCTTTCTCCTCCACTAGCGGCAGCAAGCACGGCACACGACAAACACACACGTAGCCCCAGCAGAGCAAGCTCACGCACGTCGCCCTGCTCCACCCACGTCGCTGCGGCCCTCCTCGGTTCGGTTGGCTGGTTCGTATCGTTGCTGATTTATTTATATAAGAAAGAAGTACTGTTAGCTGATTTATTAAAACAGTGTCTATGTAAGAAAGAAGTACTCGTCAGCCTTGTCCGCCTCGTTGCGCACCGTCAACGCGCCAGAATACACGGCTCCTACGTCGGCGCTGAGACTCGGCGCCATGTATTCTGGCGTCGAGGTACCGACCACGTGAACGCCACCTAGGATGTTCTGCTGTGCATGGTCAGACATCTCGGCGCCAAAATCTGTGGCGTCGAGACGTGTTACCTTAGCGTCATGAGTCCTGACGGCGAAAACAGGGTCAAAAATGAGTTTAAGTAGGAGTCAAATGTAAATTTTCTTAAAAAAATATGTCAAATTATAAAAAAATTAGTTCAGTTCGTCGCTTCCCTCTGCCGTTCGAGCTTCCCCGGCAGGTGTGCCCTCATCCTCCGGTTGATCTCAGATGGACTCTTTTCTGTGCCTTTTTTTTCCTTTGCTTTTCACCGCTTTCGGCCTAGGGTTCTCGTGACCCTGTCCGCTTCTTCTCTGCTTTATTGGCTGATTGGAACGAAGCTTAGGCAGAAGTAGCGAGTTCGTCCAGCGGCGTCACTCTTGCATCGTTTCTGTATCTTCCGAGAATAGTTTCAACTGTGTTATCCTGGAATGATGGCCACCCCTACTTTGCTCGTCATCCGTTGCTTCCTTGTCTGCTACCTCGTGTTCTATAAGTTGATTTTACACTGCCTTATTCCGCTGCTGTTATTGCAGTTTGGAGGTTAAGTAGAGCACTGCTATTGCTCTTGCAGGTTTATATATCCCATAGATACCACCTTCTCTTTAGCCTCTGTCCCCCACCCCCAAAGATGAATTTACGGCGATTTTGCACTGCTTTGTTCTGCAGTTGCTATTGTAGTTTGGAAGTTAGTTAGCACTATGATTTGTACTTCGTAGCACTGCTATTACTCTGGCAGGTTTATGGATTCCACCTTCTCTTGCTCTGTTTTCTTTTCACGGGATGGTCAACTTTGCTTTTCTATTCTCGGGAACTGTACTGTGTCCCAAACATTGCTGCCTCACGAACTGATTCCTCTTTTTTATGGTGTATAATATGCATGGCTTGTGTGAGTGTGACCTTCAAGGTTTGGAATAGCAAGAAACAGGATCTCCTTTTGGGGTGTAATTCCTCTGCCTCGATGAAATAAGAGCTTTGGTAACTGGTAAGGTACAGTATTTCATTGTTTTTTATGGTAAGTTCCGTAAGGATCATAGAAATTCAGCAGCATGGTGCGTCCACATTCATGGAAAGAGGCGCATGCTAACAGTGTTGCCGCCTTGTAGAAAATACACCGCACAAAACAAGAGGGAGCGAGAACAGGTGCAACAGGGAGAGAGTCAGAGTCTCAGATAGATGGCTGCCCACCACGCTAGTGACATCCAGCAGCTGCAGCGACTTCCATGGTTCCACTTGTCGGCGCCCTCTACCTCGGCGCCGTCACACTTCGCCTGCTGGCCTACCTCGGCCTCCCCAACTTCCTGCGCTCGCCGACCCCGACGGACCTTCGCCGCCGCTACGGCGCGTGGGCCGTGGTCACGGGCCCGACATCAGGCATCGGCAGATCCATGGCCTTTGAGCTCGCGCGCCGGGGCCTCAATCTCGTCCACTACGCCAGATTCTTACTGTAGGAACGAGGATATTTTTACTATAGGAGCCGTGGAGACGAAGGCAAGCTCCGGGACGTCCCGGACACTATCACCAAGACTCACGCTGGCGTGCAGACCAAGACGGTCCTGTTCGACCTCGCCTTCGTCTCCACGGCTCAAGGTGAAAGAAAAAAAAACGAGATACGCATGATGATCGAATCTGTTGTAACAAAACAACTAGACTGGGCATCTCTGTGCTGATGATGGTGTGCTAAGCAGGTGAAGAGGCGATGCGGCGGCTCCGCGAGGTCGTGGACGGGCTTGACGTGGGGCTCCTGGTCAACAACGCCGGCGTGGCGAAGCCATGCGCCGTGTACCTGCACGAATTCGACGTGGACGCGTGGGTGAAGATGATACGGGTGAACCTGTGGGCGCTGACCGAGGTCACGGCGGCGGTGCTGCCCGGGATGGTGGCTCGCCGGAGGGGCGCCATCGTGAACATCGGATCCGGGTCAACGGAGGCCATCCCATCCTTCCCCCTCTACACGATCTATGCCGCCACCAAACGGTAATAATTTACTACGTATTTAACTGGCATCTTTTGTTTTTTCTTTGGTGAATTTTATTAGTCCTAATTATTGGTTGCAATTCATGTTCTCTTCCCTCCCGAGTCCACCAAACGGTAATAATTTACGTTTACACCTTTCTCCAAAAACACGCTTGGAATCATATACTCCAAAATAGTGTTTGAGCTAGCCAGAGCTGTGTCAATATTATCCAAAATGCAAAGTATTCATAATAAGCTTTACGATAAGTGTCTAGTCTTTGGAGTAAAAATTTCAAGCAGGTATGTTTCTCAATTCTCGAGGAGCCTCTACGTTGAGTACAGAAGCAAAGGGATTCATATCCAATGTCAGGTAACTCAGATCAGTAAGCATTTTTATATATTCATTCGTATATACACCTTTCGTTTTAATTATAGTTTGTTTTGCCTTTTCTAAATATATAACTTCTATTATAAGATGGCCATATCGTATATATATCTAGATGTATAGGAAAAGCTATATATTTAGAAAAGACAAAAATAATCTATAATGTGAGACAAAGGGTGGTAATATTTAACACAAATGACTGTAGAATAGTGTCGTGTTTCAGTACTACAAATTTGATACTATTATATTTTTTTTATTTTAAGATTAAAACATATTTTTATAATATAACATTATATGATCTGTTATACATGTGCAAAGAAAATTATTTTCTTCCTTATCTTTTGGGAAAACCTTAAGGGCTGGTTTAGTAGAGCTTTATCTGATTCTGATTCTCTAAGGAAGCTGATTCTTTGAGAGAAGTGATTTTATGGCTGAAAGTGATTCTCTTTAATTTTTTAGCATAAACTCTTAAAATCATGATGGAGAATCATTTCACGGAATCAGGAGAAGCTACTTTTTTTCAGCTCTCATCCTCCTAGTTCATTTTAGAGAATCACTTCACGAAATCAGCAGAGAATCATTTCTCTCAAAAACTATTTGGCAGAGCTCCTGCTGGATTCAGCAGAGAATCAAATCTGGGAGTTCTGCTTGCAAGCAGTAGCTCAAGTTACAGTTACACGTCCAAGCCGCAGAGTCTGTATCTTCCAAAGTTGCCTTTACAGTACGTCAATAATTTAATAATTTAATGCTTCTGTTCAAATAGGTAGAGGCTGTTTAGATACATTAGCCATAGCAAAAGATTTGCTCTTAATCTTTTGTCGCTAAACTTTAGCTCAAACTTTAGCTTGAGGTGTTTAGATCCATGGCAAATGGCACTGTTTCTATAAAAGACTGATTTGTCCTCATTTAATGACTGATTTGGTTCATTAATTGTGATCCATGCACAGTAATGCATGCTGCGTGCTGGGCTTCTTGCTGCTACATGCTGGTGATGCTGCTCACTGGGCTACTGCACGCCGGTGTTGCACGTTCATTTTCAAACAATAAAAAATTACACTTTATTTCACAATTATTCAATAGTTGAAGTACACAATTCAATTGTCCTCGACCATACAAATCAATCACACACGTTATAATTCAAGTACACAATTCAAATATTCATGATCTATTTAACAAACCAATGACCATTTGGTCAGGGAAACCATTTATGTACGCAGATTTATCCCTTGGCGGCGGCTGACTAGTACGTGGTTGAGAGGTCGATGCCTCAGGTGGAACATAGTTCTCATCACGATCACAACGATCAAAGTCCCTATCTACTATTCCACTCGATCAACTGAAGTTATAGAGTGCCATGCATGCTACGATTATTTGGCTTTGCTTATGAGGTGCATAACTTGGCATATGCAACAAAATCCTCCACTTCATTTTTAGAACTCCAAATGACCTTTCGATGACATTTCTAAGAGATGAATGTGCGAAGTTGAAGATTTATTTTTTACCTTGTGGCTCCGGGCCTTCTTGATACTCCGGAAGATGGTACTTCGTTCCCTTGTAGGGCGCAAGATAACCCGGACGGTTCGAGTACCCAGAGTCCACCAAGTAAAATTTTCCTACACAATGGAACATTTTTGTAAGTTTGAACTAGTTGGACTAGAAGTTGTGATTGCAACATTGGAAGTTGTTTACCTGTCGGTGGATGTGGAAACATGTTGCCGTACTTGGTCATATCATCCATGAACACTCTCATGTCATGTATAGAACTAGGGCATCCAGCAAGAACAAATGTGAACCTCATGTCGAAGTCACAAACAGTCAACACATTATGTGTTATCATGCCCCTGCGGCACATGTGCTGAACCACCTTATCACTTGGCACCACACATGGTATGTGAGTGCCATCTAGTGCTCCTATACAATTGTTGAAGAAGGGATGGAACCTAGGATTTCTCAATCTAGGATGAATTGTTCTGAATTCTTGGTCAACTGGCTTAATTATGTCTGCAGCTAGCTTAACCACACATTGCAAAACTTTCTCTAAGTTGTTGTGAACTGTGCCTAGTGATCTCTCAAATCTATTCTCAGCTTGCCTAACTGACTGTGGTGCTCCTAGCATCCACAGAAACATGCCTAAAGCCTCCATCGAGGAACTCTTTGTGCTTGATTTGAGGCCATATGACTCAACCAAAAGATCATGAAGTCGATCAAACATAGTTGGGCTCATTCTAAACATGTTGTAGGATATGTTTCTATCTCCTAGAGTTCTCTCTACCCATTGCAACCCAGTTACCATTGGTTTCCTTCTCGTAGCCTTATTGCAGTATTTGTCATAGTGATCAGCAAACAAAAGCATACCGTCCAGGAAACCTTTGTCATCATCATCAACAAGAAGTCTAAAGAGTTCCTCATCACTAGACTCATCTGGATTGTCCCCATCCCTTGCTGACTTACCATCCTGGCACATAAATGCATCACAAACTCAGTTACATGTTAAAATATTACAGTTGAAATGACAAATAGGCTCACATCACAATCATAATTCAAAGTCATCACATTCATAACAGACATAGTGCACATTCATAATTCACATAGTTCAAATGACAAACATAGTTCAAATGACACTTAGTGCAATGACAGACATAGTTCAAATGATACACTTGGTTCAAATGACACACTTAGTTCAAATGACAGACTGATATTAAGATAATAGGATCTAGATCAGGTTGTTGACCCTGGCATAGTGCTTCAAGAAGGCCAGCCTTCCTTCTGCTGTAGACATTCCAATGAAGAACTCCATACTGTTTTCTTCATTGCAGATCCTGTGTACAGCAAACCACTCAGGGACAGTCTCAGATATCCTGCACTATCTAGCCAACTGCTGCACTAGCCTAATCTTTTCACTATTGGCTTTCTCCCTTTGTTGCTTCACACTCAAATGTTGCTTGAACATGTCAAGGCGTCGGCCCATGCACGCGCATGTGGGGCCACACGCTGGCCTGCCCCTACTGCCGTAGGCTGCCCGCTCGGGTGCGCCAGCTAGCCGTCAATGCGAGCCGCCGCGCCGCGCCCCCCTGCGCCTAGCTACCTGCCGCACTGTGACGCTACCACCACCATCCCATCACCACGCTGCACTCCTACTCACTACACCATGCCTTGCTGCCACTGCTCCGCCATGTGCTCCTGCACCATGTCGTTGCTGCCTTGCTGCTGTGCACGTGGGATGCCGCCTTGTGGCGCCGTCGGCCCACCATTAATGGCGCTGAGGCGCGCGGGCTAGAGCCAGTCGTGCCTGTTTGCGCTCGTCGCTTGCGCCTAGCATGTGTACCCCAGTTGCGACGCTCGTGTCCCACCAAAGAGCGCCAGCCGCGTCACTGCTCATCGCTATTTCCACTGCTGCGCCCTCCCCTGCTTCCCGCCAAGGTCACGTCGTGACCCCGGTGAGCCAGAGCACGGGAGCTTGCCTTAAATCTTGCATGCTCGTGTCCCCGCCTTGGCGTCCGTGCGCCAACTGTCCCTACCCCGCCTTGAATTGTGTCACGACGTGCTCCAATTTGAAGTTTCCCCTCCACCGTGCCATTAAGGCCGTGCCCGAGGGCAGCCACCCACCGCTCCACCCCTCATCAATCCATCTACACCACGAACTCCGCCTCCACCTCCACTTCACCCTGCGCACCTCGCTTGCACCTCTACCGCCTCACAGTAGCCACTAACGTGGCCGCACCGTCTCGGAGCACCGCCGCATCCCACCACCCGCACGTGGCCAGCCCTGTTCGGGGAACCTCCGGCCAAACCACCACCGCAGCCACAACCAAGGTAAGATAGTGATGCTATAGCGCTAGCTAGTTCACCCTGCGGTGGCTTAGGGTGGCCGGCATGGCCGCGTCGCTGTCGCGCATGGCCCCTAGCCGTGGTCACCACTTCCACGAGCTCCGTCACTCCTGTAACCTAGGCTAGTGTAGGCGCTAGGGTTATAGATGGGGGTTAGCCCGTTAGTGGAGCCAATGCTGGTCCCAGCTAGGCAGCGTGGCTGTACAATGCCATTGTCGCCGCGCGCGCCACGCGCAGGTGGCCGAGGACCATGCTATTGTAAAGGAGGGAGTTTCCGAGGGTTTCGTTGCATAGTTGCTCTCTCTAGGAATAGTGACATAGACTGCGGGTTAGTTTGCCCAGAGTTTAGGGGCATTTTTGCATGTGTCGCGCGCGGGCCTCCCCATTGTGGGTCGCCTCGCGTTGGGCCGCGTCCGTGCGGGCCGCGCGGTGGTGGGCCACGGGTGGAATTCGTTTTTCCTTTTTCTTAAGGAATAAGAAATAGCTTTATATTTTAATTTCTGAGCTGAACTTTGAAAATTAATATCAATTCGCATTGGTGTCCAAAAATTATGAAACCAATTTTGTTAGGTTTCTAAAATTGTGCTCTATCTGTTAGTGTATTTAGTTCATATTTATATTTGTTGATACCAGCGGCTATTAAATCATTTGTGAGTGTTTAGTATTATTTAGGTTAGCATTTGTAGGAATTTTTGTGGAAAATTGGTAATAGCTTTGACCATGAAATTTTTATAGTAGATTCATTGTATTATTATGTGCTTACTGTAATTTTTGTAGCCTTAGAATCGGTTGAGAAATTTGATAACTAAGTA